CTTGCGTGAGCAAACAAAGGGATGTGAGAGAGGGATTGAAATGCACACACATGCGGGATGGAACCTAATTTTGTAGTCAATAAAGACATTTCGTTTTCAATAAATTTCCCATGCCAATATCAGCATCCAACTAACTATTTGATATTTATGGTCATACAAAAATTCAGATTTCTCAAAAGCGGAGTTACCCATGCATTGTTCTACATCATCATAAAATAAATGAAAATGTTTTACAAACTTTCAAAACATTTGATTAAATTTCTAGAAACTTTTCTCACTATTTCGGATGATTATAGCTAGCTACCGTGAACACTATAAAGAATAAAAACATCGGATTGTTCAGAAATCACGAAAATTAGTATAAATTTTCCTAGTTGTGAAATAGAAGAACCTGACCAAGTGTGGAGTTATAGAAGACAACAAAAATCCAGTTCTTTGTGGGACGAAGATTGAAAGTTTCGTGGACCTGATATGGGTCCATAGTGACAGGCCAGCGGTATCAACAAAATTATTATTGACATATATAAAGTGTAACCCTTTTCAACCGTTAAAGTTGTAAGCTTTTGAAAAAGGGTTCGTGTTCTTCGACATTGCATCTACAATAGTTTAAACCTGCTAAAAGTACAATTAGATTGAAACTTTAACTTGTTATAACATATTAAAATTATCATAAAGTTGTGTCTCAACATAAATAGGAAAGCTACTAAAGTTTTCAAAAGATGTAAATGATGGAGCGCATGGAACGGTGAATTGGGATTTAAAAAAGACTTAAAAGTTAAATGTCTCCCATCAATAAACGTACAATTAATTTCATCATTTCAAGGTGAATATGTGTGGGTCTCACCAAAATGAGATGCAAAATTAAAAAGTACTTGCTTTCGTTGAGAGTTGAACTCAAGACCTCCCGCTTACTAAACGGGTGCTCTAACCAACTGAGCTACGAGAGCCTTTTTGATGGTCTATTAACCCAAGATATAATAACAAAAAGTATGATAAAAACGATTTGGTTGAGTTGGGTTTTAGTAAACATTGGGCCGAGAATCAAGTTAGTTCAAATGTGTAGGCCGTCCAACTATTCTATGTTCATTACCTCTTCATAAATATCAGAGTGATCCATTAAAAAGATTTGGACTATGGGTATGGGACGTGGGTTTATAGATAAATCATACAATTTGAGTTGTTTAAGATCCATTACTCAATTAGAGCCAATCCCAAAAATTGGTAACGTTTACATGCAAACTATATTATATACTACTGATTTGATACTCCAATTTTTTGACGTTTTGTTTTACCATGCCTTGCTTGAATGGTCTACTTCACGCCAAATCAATACCTTATCCTCTTCTCAGTTCAAGTCAAACGTATTAAGGCTTTTTTTTATTAGCATTAGTGACAAAAGACAAAATAACATTCAACACAACAGTTAAACATGAAACACTGATAATAGATGAGAACTATTGTCAACAAAAAAGAAGGAAACTATTTTGTTGGACAACAAAGGGAAGAAGAAGTTAAGCACTTAAATAACATTAATAGAGAATTAATTGCTGCTCATAACTGTTAATAACAGCTAGTACTGACGATGTAACTCCGGTTATGTATTATGATCATTTAGCCCGGTCCTGGATTTTATCAAATCCCATCTCGGTTGGGTCGGTGGCTTGAAGCTCATAGTGAACGCCGTCCAACACTCTTCTCAGTCCGCTCTTCGATGTCGCGTACATCATCTTCTCCCTTATCCTTGAAGCCTCCGGTGACCTATTCCAACAACAATCAAATTATATTGAATCAGTTTATCGGAATGGTTTTCTTCGGTACGATTTTATTTGAATCAAACCGGCCTTGGGTTTAAAAAGACAGGGCTTAGAACATCCAAGGACAAGATGGTAATCTAACTCTTACAAAATGACCATTTTACCCTTTGATGATCTAGAATTATAGCATGGAAATCAGGGTAAATTAGACAGTTTGTGAACTCGAAAAGACAAGAGTAGTGACACTAACCAGGTTATGAAGAAGATCTTGCTCATACGACAGTTATCGACGGTGACGTAATCGAAATCAAACACGGCGTAGCGACAGTCGTCCTCCGGCAAAGAAGCAGCGAGATCGTCATAGCTTTCGCCGGCGGCACCGACCTTGTCGACGGTGACTTTCCGAGACTTCTCCTCGATCTTGTAAACGACGTATCTATGCACTTTCTTCCATTTCATCTCCATGAACGATTTCTTGCAATCATCCGTCATCCACATACCACTCGTCGCCTACATATACCAAAATATATTTTCTTTTAGTTTCATAAATAAAAAATGGAAAAATAAACAAATTTTGTATATTGTTAATATGATGTTACGTACCGTCTTCAAAGCCATAGTGAGCTAAGATGATGTCTTCTTCTTCTTCTTCTTTCGTTAATATTTTGAGTGTAGAGAGCTTTTTTTGCTGTGTGTGTGGTGTTGAGGAGATCAGTGTAGTTTGGGGACTTATATAAAGAATTGCATAAATAATTGCCATTGAGTTTCTTAATTATTACAAATTTACCACCCCCTGAAACAGAAATTTGATGTATGTAAAACTTTAACTTCAAGTATTTTTCTTTGTTAAATTGATTTTTAGAGCCCATTTTTAGTGGTTATAGTTAAAAACACCCATATTTAGTTCTTTTTTATTCAATCAAAAACAGCCATAAAAAGTAGTACTAACTATTTCTTTTAAATTTGAATTGTGTGGGGAATACCAAAGTAACTACTGAATGCTGCTAATTAATGTTTCCAGTGACTAATGATAAAAAAAAAAAACAACTTGGGATGGAAAACTTATCATTACATATATGTTCAGAACTGGGAAAATCACCAATTAAAACTATATTAAGTGTTTTTAAAAATATTTTTCTTCTTTACCAAATTTACAGTTTCAATTTGCTAGCTGTGTTTTTTCCCGTGCGTGTACCAATGACATAATTACACTTGCTTTGTTCTATTCACATATATTTTAAAATAGATAACAATTAAATACTACTATATGTGTATTATTTTTATTTCTTAATATTGAATTTATTTTATTCAGAAAAAGGTTAAATATTGCCAACAAACTTGCAAAATATCACTTAGTAAATTAAGCATATTTTGCATCAAGAGAAATCTAAAAAAGTTTGAGATTTCTTTTAAACCTCAACATATTTTAACAAAGAATATTAAACCTTCAAAGTTAACAACATTTAATCGAAAAAGAAAACACATATATAGTTGTTTTACCACTTGGTTTAACGAATGTTTCATGTTCTTAGTCTCTTAGATTAGACAATGCTAAGAGATCGAAAAAATATCATGGAGCATTTGACATCGTTTTCGAATTTCTTTTTGAAGCGCATAACCATGAAAACATACGGTTTAATTAAATTCATTACTAAACCATGCAAGTCACCATCCTAGTTACCGTTTTAGTTTTGTTCCTTCTTCAGATTAACTATTATATATGCTGAGTTTAGAGAAGATTTAGCGAATATGAAATTGGGAGTTGCAGAAGATGTATCCGTCCTAATTAACAATGAAGTGGCAACGTTATTACTAATGAAGATGATTAAATAAGAATTGAAAATTGATCAAAAGTAGTAAAAAAAAAAAAAAAAAAAAGGACGCGAAGAATCGAGTGAAGCTGGTCCCAAGTAGACGATTGGATCCAATGCCTACATTCTCATTGATCTCTCCAATCTTGTGTTACTCAAAACTCAAGCGACCCTTTGCGTGGAAGCTAAGGAATGAAACACAAGAGAATTTATTATGATATTTTCTTTTTGGATTAAGCAATAATTATAAACTTCATTTTAAGTTCCGAAAGGAAAACTTCAAGTGTTTTTTGGAACTCAAGTCTCTGATTTTTTTTTTCTTTTTATGGCGCATCAGATGTGAGAGTTAATCCATCTAAAAGTTGGAAAAGGAAGAAGAAAACATTCATATGGCGATTCTTGAATCCATCTAAAAGTCAACGTAAATAATCCTCTAGGGTTTATGGTTAGTCCAATTATTTTCAATTGAATATTAACTGTAATATATATTTGGTGTCGGTTAATAAAGGGTTCACAGAATATAACCTAAAAGATACGATCAAAGCCGCTACACAATTCCAAGAAGATTTTTGCAGTCCCAAAATATTAGCCTTCCCATGAAATTGTCTAGTGCATGTATAGTTTAAGTTGAGCAATTCACACCATTAATTGAATCATGCCATACGTCTGCATGCATATTATATGTTTTGTTTAATGAAGTTAGATTATGGATAGATTATGATGATATGCACATGAACATGAGTTTGCATGGACCCCTACCTGTCGTTATTCGGGTGCTATAAAAAAGGCCCAAACACTAAAATCTAAAGCTATATGGAAGAGTTATGGGCGCATAAGGTCGACAGTACTAACACTTCCTGCTCCCTTTTGTTATCTCTACATATAATGTAATAATATTTATAAGCTATGTATCTATAAACTCAATGTGAAATAATTGACTAGTGGTTTATAAATAGTAATCAAGGAAGAGATTGAGGGGACATGACCATATGTCTGTATATATTTGTGGATAACAATAGCCCATGCACGAGTTTGATGAGGTGTAAGTAAGATAATACCATTAGCAAGTGTCGATATGTCTTATGATTTTTAATTGATTAATTTCTCTTTTGTAGTTTGTTATTTGGAGGATTTGTTTGTACATTTGGTGGCTTGTCTTCTAAGTTCAATAGTTAGGCTTTTTGACTTGTTGCCCAATACTTGTGTTCGTTTCTTCTTTGGATTCATCTCTTTTATCACACCATCAAATCATTTTCATCCATTTTTTGTTTTGTTTCAATAGTGTCATTCGATATATCGATAATCCAAACCTTAAACTTAACCCAACCATAAACGCATTAGGAACGTTTTTTTTCCTAATCAATGAAATTCAGTTTTTTTCTCAGAAAGATTAATTTCGGAATAAACGAGTAGAGGAATAGTAAGACTAAGAACTAGTTGGCAAATTGTTTTAATAGTTATGTTATGTCAGAATTGTATCAAATTCATACGTAAGAGGTGAAAATAATGATATAATGTCTACAATAATTCAAATCATCATAAATATCAGATATATCTACATAACTGTAGTAGACTGAACTAAAAATCATATCAATAAAGTCTAGAAAAACTTTTAAGTGAAAAGCTACAGATGCTTCCTTTAAACACTAACTACAATGGCATTGTGTTCAGAATTCAGATCATCACATGTGCAAAACTATAAATAGAAAGAAAAAACAGAGACAGAGAATCTCACAGGAACCAGAACCAGATTTGTAGTGATGTGTATCTTAGGTTGTCTTGGTCATCTCTCTTCATCCCATTTATCTTTAGGGATCTCTCCAGAATCAGCAATCACAACTTTCTTCCTGGGTTTGCCACTGTAAGTTCCAGCTCCACCTTCAATGGCGAATACATTGTCCATTCCTTGTATCACCTTTCCAAACACCACATGTTCTCCTTCCAACCTGCACCACAGTTTTCACAATCATCAAATATTAATTTTTACAAATACAACACTGACATCCACAAGAATATATCATGTGTTTTAAATTCACATGTTATACTATTGAGTACAATTCGAATGCACAATCTTGTCCAAACTGCATCTAGGTTGGATCCCTCGAGGATACTAAAAATTGAGTGTGTCTGCCTTAAATTTCGAGTTCTTGATCTCATTGTTAATAAAGTGAGGGCATGAGGGTTATTATGAGAGTAGAGCTTACCAGCTAGCCTTAACAGTAGTGATAAAGAACTGCGAGCCATTAGAATCCGGTCCTGTATTAGCCATCGCTACAACACCTACACATACATATTCATTATTTTATGAACTACAAGTATACGTAAATGGCTTGATCAAAATGCTTTAAAACCATTTTCCGGAACAGTTTATCAAATTTCATAAGTTGGTAGAGAGTATATGTGCACCTGCGTGTGAATGCTTTATCTTGAAATTTTCGTCAGGAAAAGTACCACCATAGATTGACTCACTACTTTTTCCATCACCATGGATAATGTCTCCTCCTTGGATTACAAATCCAGATATTATACGATGAAACGGTGTTCCCTTATAATGTAAAGGCTTTCCGCTTGAGGTTTTTCCCTTCTCTCCTGTGCATAAAGCCCTGAAATTCTCTGCAAAAATCAAAGAAATCTAACATTAGAAACTATTTAAAACAATTAACCAAATCCAGAGATTTGCATTCAAGATGCCAAAGACATACCTACAGTTTTGGGTACAACAGTGCCATATAGTCCGATAACAATCCTGCCTGCAGTTTTGAATCACACAAAAAGCGAAATCAACAAAAGTTGATGGAAGCAAAATAGCAAAGAAGAGATCCCGAACACATGATTAAAGAACTGTTTGACTTCAAGAAAACTAGAGAAGGGATCATTTATTACAAAAAAGAAAAGCCAGTATGTCAGTCCATTTACCTAAGCGTTGGCCGTCAATATCAACATCGAGAAAAACCCTGTTGGTGATTTCGTGATCTTCAATTACTTGCTTCTCCTCACCCTAAGCATCAAGAGAGGAAGCAAATCAGGCACAACATCCACAAGGCATATCACATTCTGCTTCTCCTCTATTGAACCTCTCTCACACTAACCAAGCAACCAAATATTCAACAAACAAATATGACAGAGCCGGAAACCAGAAAGCTAACCCAAGTTCAACAATGTTATCCTGACACAATAATCAAAAGTTCAAAACCATCACAAGATGAATCTAACAAGCATGTCCCATGGATTCTTTGCTACCTTCAACACAATGAACCAACATTTCAATCTCTATAAGCTCCTCTTATAAACTCACTTAAACACTTCAATGTACTTGTAGATAGAATGTTGATTTGAATCCAAACGAGACTAATCATAACCAAATCCAAAAAAGCACTAAGCAGAAAGCAACTCCACAAAAGGGTTCAAGAGAATCAGATCTTCTGAAGAAACAGAAGAATTTGAGATCCACATGAAAACGGGTCGGAGAAAAAGAGCCTACTTTTCCGGAGTTGAAGAGCGCGAAGACGAGGAAAATCGTTAGGGCAACGAGGAGGAGAAGACACCTGGGCTGTAGCAAAAACGAGATCTCTCTACGCATCTTTCGTTCTTCTTCTTCCTTGTTAAGAATTCATCTCACACGCCAACAAACACCAGAACTCGATCTCAAAAAGAATGGGAAAAAGTCAGAAACTTGACTCGTGTTAGATCTCTCTCTGTGTCTCTTTCTCTCTAGTTCTATGCAATGGAATTCACTGAAAAGCTTGTGACCGGCGACTCTGTAGAAAGTTAACTCACAGTCGAAATCGATCTCTCAATTGCAGTGTGTTTCAGTTCTTCGTCCAAGATGATTTGTCTTTTGTGATATGCTAATGGGCCTAAATAACGACTAATGGGCCTTTCACTGTTTTGAATTATTACCTTAATCAAATATGGGCTTTTTTTATCTCAATAGGCAAATATATTTGGTTATAAACTGTTTGAAAAAACATACGATTTACAAACAAAAGATAGTTGGCCTTTTCCAATATATAACCAAAATACTGTATTATTTATACAATAATGTAGCAAGAGCTAATAGCTGAATATGTTATCTTTGTGGCATGTAACTTAAACCACTAGAACGGTACTATTTTTTGGAAATTTCTATTGGTTTGTATCTGGCAAAGGCATATCTAAACTTTTGTTTCATTATCAGTGTTTCTAAATTTTTGCTCTCATTTATTTATTTAGTTGTACTCATCATGTTGATATTTTTTTGGTCTCTATTCGGCTTTGATCTAAAGAATCAAATATCTGATATTTATTACTTTTAGTTTTCCTATTTTGTCGGCAAAATAATTATGTTGGTAGCTCAGGTCTCTGGTTCAAATGTAAACTAAACTGACCACTCGTGTGGTTGATAGGTGAGATATTTTTTTAGATGATTGATTATGTTATTTCACTATAACTTACTGATAAACAAATCTTGAGCCATAAAATTGGACTTCGCAAAATTACAAATTGATGTGAGTGGCAAATGGCAATTTAAAGACGACTTAAAAGGCTACCACTTAATTATGAGTCCTTTTTTAAAGTGGGACATTCAATTTTAGCGTTGTTCTATACTCACGAAGTGTTATGGCTACTGGTGCCGTTTATCTTAATATTTCATGTTCAGGAATGAATTTGAGTATCAAGAACATTGCATATACCCTATGTGTTATAGATTATTCGTAACCATCCCAAAAACTCATTAATTAAAATCAAAATGTATTAATGCACTATCTTTTTATTGTTGTTTGCTACTTGTATTATCTTTTTATTTTATTAAATCTTTTTTGTCCTACAACATTAACATACAAATGTCTTTTGTGATAACATACAAATAATTTGTTTTAGAAAAACAAAAAAAAAAAATATCGTTTGTGATAAGCAAATTGTGAACCTGTGATAACCTCGCCCACAAATCATATCACTTATTCGACAATTGTGATAACTTTGCCCACAATATTAATGCACTAGCTGATAGAAAGATACATGTCTATATCACTCACTTACTGTATAAAATCCCGGATTGGCCCCATCAAATATTCATCGCTCTTATCATAAACCACAACTGCCAAGTGGTTTTAATTTGTTTCTCACCGACGTTCAGTTTTTGGTTATCTTTTGTGTACTGATCTGATCATATAAACCCGACGGAATCGAATAGCATAGATACCTCAACCTAATTATGCAATGCAAATCAATTTGTGAATAACTCATTTTTATTACGGTGAAAAAAAATGGTTTTTAGAGATAAAACCTTTTATTTCCAAATTGGTTTTTCATGCGTGATTAAATAAAAATTTGACTACAACGATTAACGTGTCTGAATTTGTATCATAAGATGGAGTCATTAGGGTAACGTATGAATTTTCTTGAATTAAATTATTACAAATTATTTTGTGCCAAAGAAAAAAGAAAAAAATGCTTACATCAAAATAAAGAGGCGGCTAAGGATAACATGACTAGCATCGCTATATACATCACATAATTTTCCAAATTTTTTCTTAAAAAATAAATGATTTCCAGCTATATTTTCATCCAGCAAAGCCGTCAGGCGTCGTCGAGTAACGAGGATAAAAACAAAAAGAACTAGAATTCCTTCTCAGATCAATAGCATTACGTTTACGTATTAAAACATAATGTTTATGTAGATGTTTATGCTACATAAACATATAGTATAAAATTGGCACATCCGAATAACTATTTTCAAGTATTCAATTGTGGTGAGCGAGAAAGAGTTTTCATTTGAAATATCATGAGATACTTATGAGAGACTTTTAAGACACTTGTCTTATTTTGAATGGTTTAATTTCCTTTTCCAAACTAAATTTATTTATAAAATCAAATTATATTAAAAATATATTTTTTTTGTTTGAAAACCTCAAACGGTATCTCATGAATGGAGGTGTTATTACGAAACTAAACCGCTGAATAACTAAAATCTTAAACCATCGGTATCAGAACATGCGACTAATCTACAAAATTGTCAGTGTTGCTAGCTATAAATGTTCCGTACGTACAAGCTACAAAGAAAGAAATACAAGGCTTAGCAGATGTGAAAGTTCGTTAGAGTTGTACACGACAAGTTTTCATCCAAATAGAAAGTAACATTTTTGTGTGAATTATTTGACAAAGCCAACAAAATCTTTTTGTAATGTGAACTGGAGCAGTATATATTATATATTATTCTAAATATAGAATGTTGTGCAGCTTGATTCTAGTCATTTTGTTTGGTGAAAGATTTAGTCTTACAGATGATATATATGTCCATGAAGACAACATAACGAGATGACTTAAAGAACACATATATAATAAGAGAAAGTAAGTTGATTACAATTTTGATTAATTTGGTCTAGTTTGGCTCGATGATATATAAAAAAAAAATCAAAATCGTAATCACCTTACTTTCTCTTACAAACTAGACCAAATTAAACTAAATTGGGTTTTATAATGTGTTAAATAGTTGTTATTGACTATGGTGCGAGAAATTAATAACGACTATTTAACACTTAAAAAAACATTATAGATGGAACAACATTTTCTTAAAAAAAAAGAAAGCATTATAGATGGAACAATATTTTTGATACACTTGGAAATGGGGGTAACATGCGTACATTGCGTAGCGGCAGAGCTAATTAGCATCGAATTCTTCTATTCAATTTGCTTATATTAAATAAAACCGAACGAAAACTAGAAGAAACCAGAGTTGGAAGCTTCTAGCAAAGATAACGAGCCCCAGTACTAGTCCCACTTTTGAATTGCCAATTTTAGATCCGAATATCCACTGCCGGAGTTCGTACGATACTTTCACCGATTTCATGTCATGTGTCATACAACTGTTTCTAATTTCCCATTATTACTTAATGTTCACTTATTAATATTTGGAATCTAATTACGGCAGGTTATTTACAGCGAAAATACTGTTTCCGTAAGATAGTTAAGTAAAATAATTACATCTAGGTAAATAATTTCATTATTAAATGAAAGATTTACTAATCCATGGCTTTGTCTTTGAGTGGTATATATGGGATTATAGAATAATTTCCTCATTTCACTGGATTTTGCCATTTATATAAATTCATATTGAATCACGATTTTGATTTAGCGTCATTATGAAAGTAATGACCAAAATAAAAGATATGCAATTTCAGATATTCCGTTTTACATATTCTTTTCATTTCTTGATTCCATTACCAAACACTGAGAGACAAATAACCTAATGGCTGCTAATTGGCTATCGCTCTCTTACATCAGACTCCAACCATTAGCAAAAGTTGGAAAGTATAGTTTTACTACAAAACACAATTTTTCTTTAAAGAAAAGCTTGTGGTCGTCTATATTAATATTCTAATAAGTAAAAAAGTTACAGTTACGGAAGCATGAACTTTCATCCTAGCTAGTTGGCCATTTTGTAATCATCACATTCAAGAAAAATATCCCACGAAGAACAAATTTGCATTAAATAGAATATTAATTCCTTGTCGACATTAATTTAACAAAAGCAAGAAGGAGCACACCGTAAATTCATCCACGGCTTCCACACCTGCACCGTACGTGTCCCTTTCGTACTTTTCTCTATTCATCAGTCTAATTATAAAGTACAAATATATCAATATTCTAATTACTCAATTAATATTAAAAAAATCAATACTTTCTAAAAAAAGATAAAGTCGAAGTTGGCAAAAACAAGAATAAATAAACGTAACCTTTCACCTTTAAAACCGTACGCATAGAGCTCAACGAACCCAAACTCACTCAAAATATCTTCTTTCTTCTTCATTCTTCTCAATATCTCCAATGGGGTTTGGTAGATCCTCTTCTTCATCTTCTTCCTCAGCTCTAAAATGGCTAGGTTTCGTTACTGCCGTTTGGGTCCAATCCATCTCCGGCAACAATTACACCTTCTCAAATTACTCCGGCGCACTCAAATCCCTAATGAACCTCACTCAGTTAGAACTCAACAGTCTCTCCGTCGCTAAAGACATCGGAAAAGCATTCGGAATCCTCGCCGGACTTGCTTCCGATCGTCTTTCAACTCCCGTGATCCTTCTCATCGGTTGTTTCGAAGGTCTTCTCGGTTATGGTGTACAATGGCTTGTCGTAAGCCGCACGATTCAACCTATACCTTATTGGCAGGTACTTAATCAAACCCTAATTTTAGAATTGCGAACCCTAATTTTCCTCAATTTTGACGATTGTTGTTTGTTGTGTGTAGATGTGTGTGTTTCTCTGTATGGGAGGGAACAGTACTACGTGGATGAACACGGCGGTTCTGGTGACGTGTATACGAAACTTCCGGCGAAATCGTGGTCCTGTTTCAGGGATTCTTAAAGGATACGTTGGTTTAAGTACTGCGATTTTTACGGATCTCTGCACTGCTCTGTTTACCTCTGACCCAGCTTCGTTTCTTGTTCTTCTCTCCGTCGTGCCTTTCGCCGTTTGTCTCACGGCGGTTTTCTTCCTCCGTGAAATCCCTCCGTCTACTACCTCCGACGAGGATAACGAAGAGTCTAAATACTTCGCCGTGTTTAACATCGTTGCGGTTATTGTTGCTGTGTACCTTCAGTCTTACGACATCATCGGAATCAAAACTGGAGCTTTCTCAATCGCATTCGCTTCCATACTTCTCATTCTCTTAGCTTCTCCTATCGCCGTCCCTTTCCACGCTTTTATCCGAAGCAAAGATCACGATGAACAAGACGTAGAAGGACGAATCGATGAACCGTTACTGAGATCAGGATCCCAGATTGAAGTGGAGGAAACAATCGTAGGTGCTGCAGCGGCGGCGGATAACGAATTGCCACCGTCGCTTAAGCCGTTAAATAACGAGGAGGTAGAGAATCACGGAAATGTGGTGACGACGGAGAAGAAAAGACCGGTTCTTGGAGAAGAACACACCATAATGGAAGCGATATTGACAGTTGACTTTTGGGTGTTGTTTGTGTCGTTCTTGTGTGGAGTAGGAACTGGTTTAGCAGTTATGAACAATATGGGTCAGATCGGGCTTGCGCTTGGTTACACTGACGTCTCCATTTTTGTATCCATGACTAGCATTTGGGGATTCTTTGGTCGGATTCTCTCGGGTACTATCTCCGAGCACTTCATCAAGTAAGTCACTTTACTAAAATATGTTTATGTAAATATGTAACGTGACTTGGAATATTCTTATTGATCACTTTAGGGACACGCATTCAAATTGTGAATTCAGGGTGATGTCAGTTTCCTCTGTTTCGGCTTTGCTTTGCCGCTAAGGCAGAGAGTATATTACTTTCCTCTTCTGTTACTTGGAATTGAATATTTTCCATTTACATGATATCTCTTTAAAAGATTTTTCAATTAAAGCTTGACATGTTAGGTCTTCCTCCTTATGGAGGAGTTTCCTTGTCTAACAATAGACCGGTCCAATAGCTTGTGCCAGGGGACCATAATAAAAGTTTTCTACTTTTTTGGGTTGAAATATCTTTTTAGATTTTCTTTAGTCTTTTTATTTGAGAATTCAAGATCGTGGGACCTTGAGTAGTTTGCTATTAAAGAAACTTTTATTGCAGAGACTAAGAGCATGATTAAAGGCAAACTCTTATAGAAATCTTAAGTTTTTCTTAACATTTAATGTAATATAATTTAATGAACTTTGTGCTTTATTGTTAAGAAACGTTCCTTAGCTAAGAGCCCTGTTAAGAAACGTTTCTTAACATTTATTGTTAAGAAACGTTCCTTAGCTAAGGAACGTTCCTTAGCTAAAAGCCCTGTTCTAAAAATCCCCGCCTATCCCGATTACTCCCCGCTTAATCGTTAGGCCCACCCTATCCATCTCGATTAATGACTAATTCCTTAAAGAAATCAGTTACCCGATTACTCTCCGTCTAATCCGATTACTTCTCGCCTAATTCGATTACTCCCCGCCTAATTTTACATATCCCGATTATTTTTATATTTCAAGTATAAAAAAACTTTTTATTTTTGTTATTCAATCATTTAAATTGGGAGTTTGTGATGTTTTACAATAAATTATGTTCAAATTTTAATAAAAATCATAAATTTCTAAGAACCACATGTTAAGAGCCTACCATTAATCACACAAAAATCTTAACTCAAAAATACTATCTCTTAACAATCACTTTTACACATATATTACTTAAATATTGCTAAGAGATATTTCTAAGATACTACCAATAATCATGCTCTAATCTTGAATATTTGTTTTAACTTTTATAGAAAAGCTGGAACACCAAGACCATTATGGAATGCAGCAGCTCAGATCATTATGGCCGTTGGATATCTACTGATGGCTTTAGCCATGCCCGGTTCACTCTACATTGGTTCAATGGTGGTTGGGGTATGCTATGGAGTCAGATTAGCTATAACCGTACCAACAGCATCAGAACTCTTCGGTCTCAAATACTATGGACTCATCTACAACATTCTTGTACTTAATTTGCCTCTAGGATCGTTCCTCTTCTCGGGTCTACTCGCGGGTTTACTCTATGATGCTGAAGCCACACCAACTCCTGGTGGAGGCAATACGTGTGTAGGAGCTCATTGTTTCCGTATGGTCTTCATTGTAATGGCGTTAACTTCCATTATTGGAGTCGGTCTTGACCTTTTGCTTGCGTATAGAACAAAGGGGATCTATGCGAAGATTCATGCGAGCAAGAAGGGTAAGAAATCTAGTGGTAATCTTCGATGAGAGTCGATTTGCTTTTGGTGACAATCATTTTTTGGGTATCTTTAGTTCTATAGTAAGCGTAGATTTGTTGTGTCTATTTTCCAAAGCATTTGTGTTCAGTATTATTGGAAGGGATGATTGTATTTGTATGTACACTTATGCTTGCTATATAGTTCAAGCCGGTTAAGTGTGCTTAACCAGTTGTATGGTTTAAAGTTCAGATAATGGTAAATCAATAATCCACAATTTCACAAACGTACACAACACACTAAACTGGAATGACACTTACATCTAAAACGTCTTCAATTAGCTTGAAGGGACACTTTCACGAAGGGGCACTTTAACGAAGGGACATTTTCAATTCCATATGAGGGAAAATAAATATAAGAACCAACTGCATGATAGAGACTCAGATGACAAAAAATCTTATTATAGACTCTTTTGATATAGAAATAAGAACTTTGAGAATTTGAAAACCTAAACCGATTGAAGTAACAGAGAACAAGCTTTGAACAAGAATCCGAAACTAACATAACTCAGATATTATTTGATATAAATCTGTAGTAGTTTTGACTTACAACATAGTCTATACATTTATAACAATGTCTATGAGCATCATCAATGTATATATACAGAGAGCTTCATCAAACCTTGAAGACATACGAGACACACATCAAAGAAGAAAACAAAACTTGTGAGGCGAAAAAAAATACTCAGACTAAGACAAGAATGTTCATACTAGAGAGTGAAGCTTTGTCATATATCAATGAAATCCTCTTGACCCTCTTGATTGGTAAAGCTCCAATCTACTCTTTGCTTCTGGTAAAATCTCGTCAATCGTCGGTGCTTCAACCAAATGAGCTTGCTTTGTCGACCATTCAAGAACTACGAGAACCTCTTCTTGAGCTAATGTCTCACTGTCCGGTACATTCAAAGCGATATAACAAAGTAGCATCAAAGCCGGGACTTGAACCATTTGTTCTCCAAAGTAGACCAATTGAATCAAATGCTTTGCACCTCCTGCTGCTATAATCGCTTTAGAGTGGTTATCGCGAAGGAAATTATCGGTACATGAGAATTTAATAAGCGCTACTGCAGCTTCCATTGCAACCTCTGCTTCTCTTTCATCAAGAAGCTTCACAAGTGGTCCAATGATCCTTGTTTCCGTTGCACGGAATGTTCTTGAAAGACTACCGATTGATTTGATACACGGGATTAGAAGGTCCGTTATTTCGTTCTCGATTACCTTAAGTAACTGTTCTACTACAGCTTTTGCAGCAGGAGAGGTTGGTTTGAAAGCCGAACGCCTAAGTTCTGGATACTGTTCAGCCACATCTGTGATTTCCATCATTGCCAAAGCGGAATATGACTTGACCTCATCGTCTCCTTTCTCTAACAGAACCGCGAAACAGAGCAATGCTCTTGACTCTGTTATGCTTCTACATATTTGGAGATTCCCTCTTGAGAGTTGCCACAATGCTCTTGCAGCCATTGCCTTCATTTGAGCTTTAGTAGCTGGATCCTCAAACTCTCTTCCTTTTATGCTTGTCCCCATTAAAGAAACATGTGTCGGGTTGTTCCCTCTCGGGTTTGAACCACCCTTGGTATGATTCTGGTGCTGTTGATTGTTCTGTTTTACCTGATTCTTGTTAGTACCTGAACCCGAACCTGAACTCGGACCCGAACCCTTCATTGCTAATGTGTTTGTAATCAAGCTATGCATCTGGCTCGGTGTTTGATTACTCATAGGATGTGAAATATTGCTTTTTGTCTCATCTTGCTCGTTGTTTTCCTTCTTATCCGTCGGATTCGTATTACTCGCCATCACAACCGTATGGATCGACGACAATGTTTGCTTGTTACTCACGATAGCGTATTTGCTATGTTCTTGAACCGTCTCGAAAGCTAAATGGCTCACAAGGAAACGAATGATGTTGTTCTGAGCAAAATGGTCTTGACATTTAGGATGATTAGAGGCTAATTCAGAAACAGCCCAAGCAACAACAGTTTGAACTTTCATATGACCTTCTTTGAGAATCTTTGCAAACACTTGACACACACCTGCGTTCACAATCTGTTCAACACTCTCTGGATCACGTCCTAATAGCCCAATGGCTCGAGCCGCGTTTTCTTGACCTTCCATTTTACCTTCTTTAGCAAGTTTCAACAACGGAGGAACCCCACCTTCTTCAATAATCAACCTCCCGTATCGATCATTGTCACGTGCAAGCGACACGAGCGAAGCCGCTGCATCGGATCGATCATCTAGAGAGCCTGTGAACAAAATCGCAACTTGTTCCCAAATCAAACAGAGGATTGGTTCGTTTGCAGCGATCGGTGGAAGACCTAAATACTCATCGTCACGATCATCTCCTGAAGCAGAGACACGTAGGAGCCAAGAAACGTCTCCGATTGAATTCTCTAACTGCATCGTGATTTTCCTAAACGCAGCCGCGGGAATAATGGTGAAAACTCGTTTCATCAGTCCCGTGGCGCGGCATTTCTCAACGAGGGCTAATGCTTTGAAGAGGACTTGCTCTGTATCGTCGATGATACGGCGCGTGGGACGTTCGTAGAGATCGTTGCTTGCACGCGCCGCTTGACGGAGGAGACCGGCGAGCTTTTCCGTTTTGGCTTTGACCTCTATACATTCTTGACGGAATGAGTAAGCTTCGTCTGACGCTTTAGTTATCTGATCCGCTAATTGAATCGGTCTTACTAAGATCTGTTTCACGATATCCGCCATGAGAAACAACAATCAAGAAACTCTTATAACTCAGATCGTTTTCGTGTACAATTGAAAGTTAATGAAGATGGTGGCTTTGATCGCCGGAGACGACGGTGGAGCGAGGCGGGGAGAGAGAGAGAGACAGAGAGAAAAATGAAATATTGGTGAAACGTTAATTTCTCCGATTTTTTCAAGGAAGAAGAAAGGCTCTCCAAAAATAGACGTTTTATATACAGAAACTGAATCGGATACTTCAGTATAATTATAGCAACATTATTATTCGAATGTGAGATTGTTGGTGGAAACTATATGTAAATGTAATGCAGTAATTGTCCTAGAATAATATAGCGTTTAATTTTCTTTTTTGTGATATTTCAACAAACAAGTACGCAATGTTGTGCATGCATGGTTTAGCCCGACATATTTTAATGTTAATTGTTAAAGCAAGAAATTAATGTATATGCAGGACATAACCATGATAGTGGATTTTATTTCTAGCCTCAAAATTAGTTTAACCAAGTCCATAAGTGTCAAAGTTAGGGCCTGTCCAAGTTGGCACGGTATGTGGTACGCAATAACATAAATGCATTGAGTCTGATTGTGAAGAGTTTCTTGTTCGTTGATGACTCATGATTCGTGGTACGTTTGGAGGCAAGCAAATTGTGACAAAAACATAACACAGTCAAGGACACCAGCTTGTCTCTTTTTAGTAAACCCGTAAACATCCTATTTTTAATTTTTAGAAATTTCTAACAACTTAATGGTTGAAGGGTGGTACAGAATTAGGTGTTTTATACTTGTGTTAATCATCTACTAAAACATATTCACTCAAGGAGAACGGTAGAGCTCAAATTATTTACTAATCTAAGATACTATGAACAAAGAGAAATAAAAAGGCTACACACACTTTGCATTAAGTTCATCGGCGAAGATGACACAGACGCCTTTCTAAATAATGTAACTTACAGAACACGTAATCCAAAACCAAAGAAATATACTGGTTTCAATGCTTGTCAAACTCCGATATCTGTCATACTTTCCCTTCGATTCTTGCATAAGTGAGTCCAACGCAGGCATCCACGAAATCTCCTTCAACGAAATCAGTCGATAGAATTTGCAACTTATCTCCACATCCCCTGGAAACACACTGAGATATAAATAGCCTTGCGTGTTTTCGGATTCGATCAGTCACCGGTTTAACCCCAACAACCAGATTATCTGCTTGCGGAGTAACCGTGTTCTCAACCCGGTAAAAGAATCTTCTAGAAGATATCGGTTGCTGTTCGCTCAGATGCTTCAAATTGCTCTGAAATTTCGTCCATGGAAGATCTGTATCGATCCAATTATCTTTTAGATAATCTGAGTTCCAGAGAAGTCCACCACGGCGCGGCTTCGGAGACTCTCTTGGTTTCCAGATGCAAATAACCCTTTTCGGCAAAATCTCTGATACCGGTTTGTCGAACAAGTTATCGTCTTGATGTATCAAGAATTGACCCAATTTGTCTATCAAGTAAGCCTCGAATCCCAAAGGGTCTTTCTTTTTAAACTCGGTCCTTATCTCCAGGATTATGATCTCAGATTGGGTCTCCGACAAAAATCTGATGACGTCATTGAGGACGACATCAACGTTGTACGACGACAGAGCTCCATGGCAGACACTGCGGTCCTCCTGTACACGGATGTCGAGGACGCGTGTTCCAAGAACTAGCTGGTCGAAGGTGGAAAGCGTTTGGCATTCACCCAACCAACGAGTGAACACAGGGTCCCCGATTCCGTTGGTGGCTGAGTCGTGCGTTCCTGGCCACACGATCTTGTTAAGGGTTAGTTTATCCACAGAGAGATGCGCCATCCAGTTCTTCCGGTCGGGCGAGTGGTAGTCATCCCCGGGGAAATGCGAACCATTAGATTCTTGGAGATTGTCTAGGATTTGTTGTTGCTCAAGGACGTCTCGTGGCCGCTGGAGCTGGTTTTGGATGATCGATACCGCTGGATTTATAACTTCTTCAGCAACAATTCTCGCTGCATCGTTTGTAAAGGACACCGTCGGATTGACCACTTTTTCTGAAACAGTTCTCGCTGCATCGTTTGCAAAAGATACCGTCGGATTGACCACTTCTTCTACAACAGATCTCGCAGAATCGTTCGCAAAAGATACCACACTGTCTACTAGGTTCCCGAAAAAGGACATGTTTGAGAGATGAGAACTTCCTTTAGGGTCTTGGCTAATGTCTCATGAAGTGTTTCTCTAACTTATGAATTCCTAGTCTTAAAGAAAGTTTCCTTTTGCCTCTTTCTGGTTAGTTTCGTACTTCTCAATTTAACTATTGGCTTGTCTACAAGTTGGCCACTACTCGGTCACTAAGAACTTTTTATTTCTAAACCATAGTTATAAGATATCATCAAGTTGTTGCTTTACTTTATTAAAAGAAAAAAAAAAGTTGTTGTTCTTACTATTATATATGAAGTTGTTGACAAGCTATATATGCTATGTGTGTATTTAAATACGATAATCCAATTTTTCTATAAAATATTTGTCAGAATGACGTTCTTAGAAACCCTTCTTCTTAATTTAAAGATTTATATGGTCAGGTTTTTAGGCAGGGTCTCTGATTCAAGGAATATGTCATATGAGTAATCTCTCTGGAAGAGGTCGAAAGTCTCCAGATGGCGGATGCGTTTTGGATATGGATACTCTTTTTCTCTCTGCTCGATTCTTGAAACAGGACGAAAATAGTTCTAGTTATTCACAGATTTAAGATATGACGAATAACTAAAAATGGAAAGGATACAATCATACAAACTTAATATACTCACTTTAATAAATAGTGTAACTTTAGATACACGCAACACAAAAGCAAATAATCTTAGTTACAATGATGGAGATCAACCATCGTTCCATAGTTCTATCAAATTTTCCCTTCAATTCTTGCGTGAGTGAGTCCGACACAGGCATCCACAAAATCTCCTTCAATGAAATCAGTGGACAAAATCTGTAACTTATCTCCACATCCCTTGGAAATACACTGAGATATAAAAAGCCTAGCGTGTTTTCGGATCCGATCAGTCACTGGTTTAACCCACACAACTGGATTATCTGCTTGCGGCGTAACCGTGTTCTCAACTAGGCCTGGGCATAATACCCGAACCCGAAGAACCGAACCGAACCCGACCTGAAAAACCCGACCCGAACCCGAACCCGAAGTTTTAAAATAACCGAACGGGTTCTAAACTTCACAACCCGAAAACCCGAACCCGAACCCGACCCGAACTCGAACCCGAACAAGTACCCGAACATATCCGAAATATAAATACATAGCTATAATATATTAGTAATATTTATACTTGTAATAGTCTAAGTGTCTAAATTATTCGGATGCTAAGATATTTTCGGGTGTTTTAGCTACTTTTGGTTAGAATAGGGTATAAAATACTTAAAATTTATAGATTTTCTGAGTATTTTCAATACTTTTCATAGAATCGGATACAAATTTTTAAATATTTGGATACTTCGGGTAAACCCGAATCCGAACCCGAAATACCCGACCCGAACCCGATCCGAACCCGAAGTTTTAAAATACCCGAACGGGTCTTAGTTTTCTAAACCCGAAAAACCCGAACCCGAAAAACCCGACTCGAACCCGACCCGAATATCCGAACGCCCAGGCCTATTCTCAACCCGGTAAAAGAATTTTCTAGAAGATATCGGTTGCTGCTCACTCAGATGCTTCAAATTGCTCTGGAATTTCGTCCATGGAAGATCCGTATCGATCCAATTATCTTTTAGATAATCTGAGTTCCAGAGAATTCCACCACGGCTCGGCTTCGGAGACTCTCTCGGTTTCCAGATGCAAATAACCCTTTTCGGCAAAATCTCTGAAACCGGTTTGTTGAACAAGTTATCATCTTGATGTATCAAAAATTGACCTAACTTGTCCGCCAAGTAAGTCTCGAACTCCGGAGGGTCTTTGTGTCCAAACTCAGTCCTTATCTCCAAGATTAGGATCTCCGAGTGAGTCTCCGACAAGAATCTGATAACGTCATCAATGACCACATCAACATCGTATGACGTCAGAATCCCGTGGCAGATTTGGCGATCCTCTTGCACACGGATATCGAGGACACGTGTCCCGAGGACGAGCTGCTCGTAGATAGAGAGCGTTTGGCATTCAGCCAAGGGACGAGAGATCAGAGGTATTCCGATATCGTTGGTGGCTGAATCATGCGTTCCTGGCCACACGATCTTGTTTAGAGTTAGTTTCTCCAACGTAAGACCGGCCATCCAGTTTTTGCGATCGGACGGACGGTAGTCATCGCCAGGGAAATGTGAACCGTCGGATTTTTCGAGATCAGTTAGGTTTTTTTCCTCATTGGACACATCTTTTTGCCGGTCGATCTGGTTAGAGAAAAAAGAGAGCATGTTTTGAGAGATTGATGAAGAAGAAAAGAGGATAAGGTTTCTCTTGTGGTTGAGTTCACGACTTGTACTTTGTAGGGTTTACTTATAATAAATCTGAGAGATATCGTGCAGTGTATGTCTTAAACGTGTGAAACGTTAAATCAAAGACAATTATTTGTTGTGGATTGGTTGGAGTTTGACTTCTTAGTCCAAATTGATTGGCTATCTAATTAAAAGTTGCCAACATATTAAGGTCTTGATAAACATGAGTTGTTAATAAAACGAATATGCGATGTGGTTTATGCATATTATATCAGAATCCAAGTATTTGGTCTATAAAATATTTATTTGGTTGTTTCTTTGTCTTTATCTTTTTCATTAGTAACTGTTTAGCAGGTAAACATAATCAAATTTTAAATATATTTTAATATTTGAAGTTAGCTTTTCAAAAGTTTGGATTTTTAAAAATATTTTGTATAATCTATTTAGTCTTAGATTTGGCATTAATATAAGAAATCAACCCAACAGAAATTGTTATTGGTTAGTATATACATTAAATTCTTTTGGATAATGAATGATGTACAAGTACAGCAACTAATTTCATTCCGTAAATTTATATCCAATTTGATATAATTAAATGATTATACACAATCAGTGGATGACACATGTGACATAAATACTCGAACAAAAAACGTGCAAGTATCTTTGCCTTCATAAGATGTGTCAATCCAATTCGGAAGATATCTAAATGAGTCCAAAAGCATGTGGACTAACAACATTTTGAACCCTACAAAGATCGTCGTCACTCGTCACAAGCTTACAAAGATCTATATCAAACAAGAACTCAAAAAGGCTAATAATATGCTCCCAAAACCTTCTGATCCTACAATAAAAGAGCTAAAAGATGGTTACTCTTGCTCCGTACTTTTGTGTGATTGATTATAACGAGTCAAAATTTGGTTACACTTGAGCAAAACGAAATAACTTAAACTGTTTTCTGTTTCTTGGTCGAGCCATCGCTAGAATCTTTGCCATCCTTCTTCTGGCCAACACCGCCACCGTGTCCTCTCTTAGATCCCTGGTTAATTGAAGAAAGCAAACAACAGAGCAAAATTTAGTATAAATTGACAAAGCAGAGAAAAAAGGAGAAATTCAGTTATGTTTTTACATTGGGGTTGAAGGTTTTGAGTGGGTCGTTGCCTTTTCTGGACCGTTTCTTGTTTTTGTTGTTGCGACCACCGCCTCCACCAGATCTCCTAGTGTTGCCCATTGCGGCTCTAGCTAATTTTACCATCTTGCTTGCTTCTTGAGTCTTTGGGTCCACTAGATACTCAGGGATGTCCTTTAGATGTGGTGCAGGTGCAGTCTTACTCAGAGGCTTGTCATGTCTCAACAGATCCAAGTCTCGTGGATTAGCTTCAAAATGAGCTTTTAACCTGAAGAAAGATATAGAGAAATTAAGAAGACGAAATAACTCGGAGAATAAACATCACGGACCTAAAGAACAGTTATGTTCTTGCTTACTTTTCCGAGTTGATTATCTCATTCCTCAAATCCTGAGCTCGAGACTCTCGAACTGCAATCTTTGTAACACTCTTTGCAACATCCTGTAAAGTAATTGCAACTTATATAACTCTCACTTAATTAAAGAAGGAAGCATCTTACTACAGAGATTACTCACCTCAGCTCTATATCTAAGACTCTCTATAGCATTTTCGGTCAACAAAGGAAAGGGTGTGATAATATCACTATCCTTGTTCTTCTCACTTGCTAAGAAGGACTTTATATCTTCAAACCCTTCCACCTCATCAGGAGAAACCTGTGGCAAATAAAGCAGAGCATTAGACTTGCAAAATTGAAAGAGATCATGCCAATATAACGGTATTATTAGACGAGAAACTCACAAGAGAAACAGAAGAACCGCTGCTATATGCTCTCCCTGTACGCCCAATTCGATGAATATATCCAGTAACACTTTGAGGCATATCAAAGTTTATGACCTGTGCATAATAAATAAGGAAAGGCTAAGAGGCTAGAGAACAAAAACAAGGAAATTCTTTTAAGATCAGCAAAGAGTTCAAAAACAAAGAAAAGAAAACTCCCTTGGCCAAAGTAGAGTAGCATACCGTGTGAACTTTTTTGAAATCAATTCCCCTAACTACACCGAACTCAGCATCCAGCTTTGGTTTGCTACGCTTCTTGTTTTTATTGTTCTCCTTGTTATCCTCACCTTTAGTCTCTTCCTTTTGTTTTTTAGTCTGGCTATTATCATCCGTGGCAATCAAGTAATCGAAAAGACCTGCATTGAATTGCTGTAGACAAAAAATATACAGTGATTAATTATGAAATGCAGCTGCTTCCAGAAAAACTAAATCTAAGTGTGTGACTTGGTGATGTACCTCAAGGATATGAAGCCGAGAATTCTGAGGCAACTCCCCGTTTAAAATTGCAGACTTGATTCCAAACTGGCAGAAACAAAACAAAAGATTAATCCACTATTAATATTACAGGTACAGGTTTCCAATTCAGAATGCTCGTATAGGTGCCCAAAACTTACCTTTTCCAAGAATAATTTCAACCTGAATCCCATGTCAATCGTATTGATGAATATCAGAATTTTCTTCTGAACAACCTCTAGCTTCAAGAGAGCAAGAATGTGAAGCAGTTTATCCTGAGTACTGCAAGAAATCTAAGACAAGATAACACACTTATCATCATTAATCAGACCCACAACTGTGAACTTAAAAACCAAACATAGTACAAAACTGATTTAAACAAATTAAGCGACCGAATCATACCCAAAACTGCTGAACATTACTTGGGACGGCCTCTTCCTTGTTATTCTCTTCTGTCAAGGTCAGAACGATTGGGTTGTGCAGAATCAATTTCTTCAATTTTTCCACATCAGAACTAAGATTTTGCAAAATTATAATTCAGTCAACCATTCAAGACAAACTTCGGAGAAATTATGAGTTTTAAATAGCATCATTATCATCCATATAGTATGTGTTACCTTGTGGTAGCCGACATAAGAAGGCATTGGCAACGCCTTGGGATTATTGAAGTTACCGACCTTAGATTATCTTCATATCCATATGACAACAAAAGATCTGCCTGATAACAGAAATATATCAACATCTCCTCAAAGAGGAAAAACATGATAGATATAACCTCTAAGATGTATTTGAATGCTTAAACTAAAGTGGTTTATATTCATAGCATAAATTCCATGCAACTTCCATGCAACTTCCTGGCTTAAAAGAGTGACTACTTGATTATCTAGTGCGTTCGCAAAACACAAAACAACCTCTAACAAAGCCACAATTTTAATTGAAGAAGCACATATATCATACCTCATCAAGAACCAGAATTGCAAGTGATTCACTGACAGCAGTGGGCTCTAAAACTCCAGCAGCAAAACATTTCGGAATACAAGCAGGTGTGGAGACAAGAATCTCAGGCAGTCCAGCCAATGCATTACGCTGCAAATGAAACATTAAAACAAAATTAGAAAATCGATGGAATGCTTGCATGATGAGAAATGCAACACTAACCATATCAGATGCAGACATGCTACTAGTCAACTGCACTGCTTTCAGCTGAACCCTACACAGCTCAATAAGCGAAGAAACCTCTGTATAAACCTATATTTTCCAAATCAAACAAAATTTCTCATAAATCAATGAGATCAATAAAAGTAGGAGAAATATGAAACAATCGGCTAAGACAAACCTGTTGACATAATTCTCGAGATGGAACAAGAATAAATGCAGAAGGAGCAGGCTTCTTCTTGCTCACAGAATCTGCTGAAAACAGCTTCTGAAGCAATGGCAAAAGGTAAGCCAAGGTCTTACCTGAACCAGTCTTTGCCCTAGCAACCACATCTTTTCCTTCCTAGAAGAACAAAAGAGACAATCATATCATTCCCACGAAACAAAACCATCGAAGTCGAAAAAAGCTCGAGACTTTATAGTTTCATTACCAGAATGTAAGGAATGGCTGATTGCTGAATAAGGGTTGGTTTCTCTATACCCTTTTTAGTTAGGGCACGAATTAGACGAGAATCAAGCCCTAGCTCTTCGAAACTTTTAGGTGTCTCTTCTTCTTCTATTTCTCCGTCGTTTCTCTGTTCTTCTACTTCCTCTGCTATCTCAACATCATCCACCACTTCAGAGTTCACATCCTCCACAGGTTTATACTTGGTCTTACCCATGAATTCAGAAAAGTCCGAGCTTGTCTAGTCGAATAAGTTTGAAAAGCGGCGCAGGAAGAAGATGAAGAAGTAAGGGAAAACAATGGTAAACCTCCTCCGCCGCGTTTCTCTGTTTCTGAGTTTTTTTTTGTAATGGTGTCCCAGACCTGATTGATGACTCCAATATTGGGCTTATTTTGGGCTACATTCATCTTACATGGGCTTAAGTGGGCTTTATTTTTAGTCTAATTTGTTAGTTGGAAACAAAAATAAAAAAACGTTGAAAAAACAAAAACTGATGATGAAGTAGAGTGTTGCCTGATGGATCAGCTCATATGACGCTCTTCTTGAATATCTCAGAGGTGCTTTTAAACTAAACTACATGAATCCATTTTAACTCTATATTGTCGCAAGTCATACAGTGATACTTCAAATGCTTAAATCTAAGTTCAATTAGAAAGATAGAGAAGCCACAAATTTTACAATGTAACACTAATCATCATCTATCAAAACCAAACATTAATCATCAACATTTCTTTAAGCAAATCTTAAGTTTAGAACTTAACTTTTGTTCTTTCTATTTTGGGTTCTATTTTTCAGTAAAACAAAAAATTGACTGCATAACTGATGATGAAGATTCGGTGGATGGTATCAGAAAGAAACGATTTTTATATATAAAAAAGAAGGAAATGTTTCCTTTTTCTTCTCTTGTTGAGGTTTGACTTGGCGTAATCAACTTGGCCATCTTCGTTTTTTTGTTTCGATCCCAATCGAAATCAACTCGAGTTTTCTCTCAGATTTTTTTTTTTTCAATTTGAGAAATGGGTTCACTGAAAAAGGACGGAGAGATCGGAGATGAGTTTACGGAGGCGATACTATACGTTAATGGCGTTCGTAGAGTCTTGCCTGATGGATTGGCTCATATGACACTTCTCGAATATCTCAGAGGTTCGTTTTTAACTTTTTTGACTACTTTCGATTGCATCCAAGTGTTGGGGATGATTGAAAGTACTCAAACAAGTTTAATTTTCAAAATCAATTTTACTCTTTATGAAGATTCAGGATCAAAATTCTACACTTCTTTGGATTGAGAAATGGATTCCTACTTTCTTAGCTGAATTATGGATTCTGGATTCTTACAAATCGAGTTTATGTTTGATCCACTGGGTCCCTTGTGTTTCTTAATTTCGAAAAAAATGATTTTCTTACAAATCAAGTAAGATCTTTTTTTCTTTTCTAAAAAATCATGAAGTAGTTTCTAACTTACAGATGTTTCTTGTTGCCTTTAGATTTAGGATTGACCGGGACTAAGCTAGGCTGCGGCGAAGGTGGTTGTGGTGCTTGCACGGTGATGGTGTCTAGTTATGACAGAAATTTAAAGACATGTGTGTACGTATCTTTTGCTCTCATATGTTGGCTTTGCTTTACTTTAAGTTTATGCTTTCTTATTGATTCTTTCTCTCTTCATATGGAAACTTTTATTGCAGGCATTATGCTGTCAACGCTTGCCTATCGCCTCTTTATTCTGTAGAAGGGATGCATGTAATATCCATTGAAGGAGTTGGGCATCGCAAACTTGGCTTGCACCCTGTCCAGGTAAGATTTACTTCTTGAAGTTTCTAGTTCTTCTTGTTTCTGGAGATTCTTTGTCACTGTTGTGATCTTGATTCTCTCAGGAGTCTTTGGCATCTTCTCATGGTTCACAATGTGGGTTTTGTACTCCCGGGTTTATCATGTCAATGTATTCGTTATTGAGGTCAAGTAAGAACTCACCTTCTGAGGAGGAGATTGAAGAATGTCTTGCAGGAAATCTATGTCGTTGTACTGGTTATCGACCCATTGTTGATGCGTTTCGGGTTTTTGCAAAATCTGATGATGCTCTCTACTGTGGTGTATCTTCACTTAGCCTTCAGGACGGTTCAAATATTTGCCCATCTACTGGCAAACCTTGTTCTTGTGGATCAAAAACAACTAATGAAGTGGCCAGTTGTAATGAAGATAGATTTCAGTCAATCTCTTATAGTGATATAGATGGAGCTAAGTATACAGAAAAGGAGCTTATTTTTCCCCCTGAACTTTTGCGGAGGAAGTTAGCTACCTTAAAGTTAAGGGGAAATGGGGGGCTTACCTGGTATAGACCCGTAAGTCTTCAGAACTTGCTTGAGCTCAAAGCAAATTTTCCTGATGCAAAACTACTGGTAGGTAATACGGAGGTGGGAATCGAAATGAGACTGAAGAGGTTACAGTATCAGGTGCTAATCTCTGTTGCTCAAGTCCCAGAACTCAACGCATTGAATGTCAGTGACAATGGGGTGGAGGTTGGTTCGGCTTTGAGACTTTCTGAGCTCCTGAGGTTATTCAGGAAGGTAGTAAAGGAGCGTCCTGCACATGAAACATCAGCATGCAAGGCTTTTATCGAACAGCTGAAGTGGTTTGCTGGGACACAAATAAGAAATGTTGCTTGCATTGGTGGAAACATCTGTACAGCTAGTCCAATATCTGATTTAAATCCTCTTTGGATGGCTTCAAGAGCAGAGTTTCGGATAACTAACTGCAATGGAGTTGTTAGATCTATACCTGCAAAAGATTTCTTCCTTGGTTACCGTAAAGTGGATATGGGGAGCAAAGAGATCTTGTTGTCGGTATTCCTTCCATGGACAAGGCCCTTAGAGTATGTGAAAGAATTTAAGCAGGCCCATCGCAGGGATGATGATATAGCTATTGTCAATGGTGGAATGCGTGTGTTTCTTGAAGAGAAGGGACAACAATTGTTCGTTTCTGATGCATCCATTGCCTACGGAGGTGTGGCTCCTCTTTCCTTGTGTGCGAGAAAGACTGAAGAATTTCTAATTGGAAAGAATTGGAATAAAGATCTTCTGCAAGATGCGCTTAGGGTCATACAGAGCGATGTCTTGATTAAGGAAGATGCTCCTGGGGGAATGGTGGAGTTTCGGAAATCTCTAACCCTAAGCTTCTTCTTTAAATTTTTCTTATGGGTTTCTCATAATGTACATAATGTAAATTCTGCGATAGAGACCTTCCCACCCTCCCATATGTCAGCTGTTCAACCTGTTCCTCGGTTATCTAGAATTGGAAAACAAGACTATGAGACAGTAAAACAGGGAACATCTGTTGGCTCGTCGGAGGTCCATCTTTCAGCGAGAATGCAGGTATGTTGGTCCATCTGTTGGCTCACCGGAGGTCCATAGAATGTATCTCAACACACTTATTATTTTTATGTAGGTCACAGGGGAAGCAGAATATACTGATGATACCCCAGTACCTCCTAATACCTTACATGCTGCCTTTGTGCTAAGCAAAGTGCCACATGCCCGCATCCTTTCAATTAATGATACGGCAGCCAAATCTTCATCTGGTTTTGTTGGTCTGTTTCTTGCCAAAGATATTCCTGGGGATAATATGATTGGACCAATTGTTCCCGACGAAGAATTATTTGCTACAGATGTGGTCACGTGTGTGGGACAAGTAAGAAAATTTGAAACCTAAATTTTCACATTTTTCCTTAGCTTTTCCATGGAAACTCAGTGGCGAACCTATAACTTCCTTGTGTCTCAGAAGAAGTGTTACATGCTTTTTATAAGCAAAACTGTTTTTTGTGCATGCTTTCTATCACCAGAAAGTAAACAAGCAAAGTTTTCTTATAGTACTATTTATCTCTCAAAAAGTAAATGAAAGTTCTCATATGATCCAGTATTTTGTCAGATATATGTATTTCTTACGTCCCAATTATTTCATTGGTATTTCAGGTCATTGGTGTGGTTGTCGCGGATACGCATGAAAATGCAAAAACTGCAGCAGGAAAAGTTGACGTTAGGTATGAGGAACTAGAAGCGATATTATCAATCAAGGAGGCGATTAATGCTAAAAGTTTCCATCCGAACACAGAGAAAAGGCTAAGAAAAGGGGATGTCGAGTTGTGCTTTCAATCTGGTCAGTGTGACAGGATAATAGAGGGAGAGGTTCAAATGGGTGGTCAGGAACACTTTTACTTGGAGCCTAATGGTAGTTTGGTTTGGACAGTAGATGGAGGCAGCGAAGTTCATATGATTTCATCCACACAGGTAAGCATATTATTAGTGTACTGCCGTATAGTTCACTGAGTGAAATTCACTTGTTTTATGCTTTGTACGACCAGTAAATGACCATCAACTCTCTGTAAAAGAAAACTATTAGGCATCAGCTAGTTTAAGATATTAAATGATAATGTTGTCTCTGCTTAAGCAAATATTGGTGGTTGTGATTTATATGCAGGCTCCTCAAAAGCACCAGAAATATGTGTCCCATGTTCTTGGTCTTCCGATGTCCAAAGTGGTATGCAAAACCAAACGAATTGGTGGTGGCTTTGGTGGTAAAGAAACAAGATCAGCTTTCATTGCTGCTGCAGCTTCTGTTCCTTCCTATCTATTGAATCGACCCGTGAAACTCATACTGGACAGAGATGTGGACATGATGATAACTGGTCATCGTCATAGTTTCCTTGGAAAGTACAAGGTATTTCCAGTTTTTTTTCCCCGGAATTTTTAGGCAGTGGACTCCATTAGTGAGCAGACAATGAAATAGAAAGGACTGAAAACAGTTGAAAGTAGAAGAAACAGCGGGAATAGATTGTTAGACAAACTAAACAATTCCTTTTAATTGTGTTCTGCTCTCTTACAGGTTGGATTTACGAACGAAGGAAAAATATTGGCTTTAGACCTTGAAATCTACAACAATGGTGGAAACTCTTTGGATCTCTCCCTTTCTGTTCTTGAACGTGCCATGTTTCACTCGGATAACGTTTATGAGATCCCGCATGTAAGGATTGTAGGCAACGTATGCTTTACTAATTTTCCCAGCAACACTGCTTTCCGAGGGTTTGGAGGCCCCCAAGGTATGCTTATAACAGAAAACTGGATTCAAAGAATCGCAGCGGAGCTCGATAAAAGCCCTGAAGAAATCAAAGTGAGTTGAATATTTTCTAAACAACTCCATCTCCTGAAAGTTTGTAGGAAGTTGTCTCCTTTTGTCAGTTTCCTATCTTAATACTTTCTGGTGTTACTTTACTTTAG